TACCAGATTTCAGCTTACAATCATGGGTACAATGTTTCAACTTAAAGACAGCCTGAAGAACACATGGCAGCACTTGCGGTCAAAGCACTGGCATCAGATTGACCATGTACTAGCAAATCAAGCTGCAAAGCAACACGTCATAGTGACCAAAATCAATCAAGTAGCAGACTGCTTCACTGATCACAAGTTGATTGTTTGTAAGTGTCATTTCTCCATAAAACCAAAGAAGAAGGGCACAAAGCTTCCCAAAGACACTGGCCTAAACAATGAAAGAAAAGAAATGCTGGAACAGTTCTTAAATGAAAATTGTTTGATTGCAAAGAACATTGGGAAGATCTCAGAGAAGTGCTTCAAAATGCAGCCAAAAACGTATTTGGAAAGAAGGAAAAGAAACAGAATGACTGGTTTGACGAGCAGGATGGAGAAATCAGAGAGCTACTTCAAAACAAGAAACTGAACAGGAATACTCATAGAGAGCGTATCAGAAAGCTAAAGAATGACTGGTTCCAGCGAAAAACTGAAGAAGCAGAATTTTTCTCACAAAAAAATAACCACAGAGAAATTTATGCCACTCTCAATGCTGTCTACGGTCCAAGAACTAAAAGCTACCATCCTGTTAGATCAAAAGATGGCGAGCTCCTGACTTTACCAGATAGCATCAAGAACAGATGGGTAGAACATTTCAGTGATCTTCTGAATCAACCAACTGATGTTGATTTAAGCATCTTGGATGACATAGAGGAACATCCAATTATTGCGTCCTTCAATGATCCAATCTCAGAAGAAGAGCTAGGTAAATCTCTCAAGAACACCACATTAGGAAAAAGTCCGGGCCTTGATGGAATACTCCCTGAAGTTCTTGTGCATGGCGGCGCTCGTTTGAGAGCTTTTCTACTTGTAATCTTTTACATCTTCTGGACAACAGAGGAGATTCCATCTGACTTGATTAATCCTAACATCACTATCCTGTTCAAGAAAGGTGACAGAAGTCAGTGCGGCAATTATAGGGGTATAGGGGTCATCTTGCAGAGACTACATCACCTTGCAGAGAAGATATACCCACAATCTCAGTCAGGGTACCGCAGGGGCAGAAGTACTGTGGATGGAATCTTCACCCTTTAACAGGTAATGAAGAAAACGAGAGAATAGCGCAGAAGTTTGTATATAGCTTTTGTGGATTTCACTAAAGCGTTTGACACCGTCAATCGTGAGCTACTCTTTATTATCCTGAGTAAGCTGGGCTGCCCTCCAAAGTTCATAAGAATCATCAAGAAGCTATATACGAACGTGCATGCAAGGCTCATTGTAGATGGTGAACTCACACAGGCCTTTGAGTACAACAGTGGTGTCAAGCAGGGTTGTTAGCTAGCACCAACACTCTATGGCATCTATGCAGCTGTTTTGCTTTGTCTTGATTCTATAAGGAAATCAAGCACACCTGCAGTGTAAAAGTCAGATTTCGCTATGATGGTAATCTATTTGATCTTCGAAGACTGAAGTCAAAGACCAAAGTTCTTACCGAGTACATCAGGGAGGCTCAATATGCAGACGATATAGCCATATTCAGTGACACTTCAGCGGGACTACAGTTGTTACTCACAGCTTACAACGACCTTGCTAAGAAGATGGGACTACGTATTAACACTGCAAAGACAGAGACCATGTGCATTGGTACTGAAGCTGAGTTCTTCATAGGTGACACCAAGTTGGCGAACGTCACCCGTCTTCAAATACCTTGGCAGCTATGTAACAAATGACTGCTCTATGAAGGAGAAACTTGCAGCTCGTATCCAAGCAACATCATGTGCTTTTGGTCGACTACGTCAAAGAGTGTCCAACTCACGTGACCTTACAATAAACGCTAAAGTCAAAGTCTACAACCATTGTCTTATGCCACTTCTGATGTACGGCAGTGAAACCTGGACTCTGTACCATCATCAATTTCGACAACAGAGAACAATACAACAACGTCACCTGCGCTTAATCATGCATATTAAATGGGATCATTACATCAGTAACGAGGAGGTCCTGAACAGAGCGGGTGTTGAAGACATCGAGTTGAAGCTAGTTAGAAGTCGTCTGCGTTGGCTTGGCCACATCTGTAGAATGGATAATGACAGACCAGCAAAGGCACTCTTATACAGCGAGCTAGCAAATGGATCCCAATCTGTTGGCTGTTCTAAATTGAGATATAAGGATACCTGCAAAGGTGCTCTGAGGTGTGGTAATATTCTTGATCAGTGGAGGAATGTTGTAGACAACAGACAGGAGTGCATACAACTTGTGAATGCTTCAACATAAAGGGAATCAAACAGTATGAAAGAAAAAGTGAACGAAGACTAAAGAATTTGAACAAAAGATGATCTATAAACTTTACAGCTATAGATATTTGTACTACATTATTATTCTGTGTAATGCCCGTTTCGGGCTCTCACTAGGCGTATATATATATATATAACATATAATAATTATATGTTATATTTAGCTCCTTGGTTGTAGGCACATAAATGCAATACATCAGCCACATGTTTTATTAAAACCAGTCTCTCGTGTTTAGTACCACTATACATACGTACCGCACACATATACACAACATGTACACAACTGAGGAACGTAATAAGAGACTAATTAACCTGATGTTTATGGTATATATCATACATTTTAATTTTGTTTACTTGGAACAAAGTCAATATCAAATTGTAGTTTTGAGATGCAACTCGACATAAGTGCTATGCATATGTGTGACTAATTTTAAACATATACATATGTAACTTAATGGCTAATGTACAGTAAAACAATGGTTGATAAAATAATGATTAAATGAAATGAAAGAAATTAAGAGTTGTATATGAACTTCTGTACATTTACTGATTGAGATATGTAGGAAATATGCCGAATGTGCTGAGAGAGTTGTATGTTCTTTCACTTGAATATTTGCAAGAGTTGATCGTCTGAGAAGTAATCCCCGTATCCCCCAATATAAAATTAATAATAGCATGCAACCCTCTCCCAGCTAACACATAACGTTTTCACAACGTTGCTGGAATGTTGTAGTTTGGTTAGGTCAGGAATAACGTTGCAGCAACGTTCTAGAAACGTGCCATGCGAACGTTACACTCGCACCTTCCCAGAACGTTATGTAGTAACGTTTTAAAAACGTTGTTAGGACGTTGGATACGTATATGCTATATTATACATATTTTTCTATAGTAAATTGACATCTGTATTTATGAAATATACTATATCATATGTTAACGTATAACCTTAATTAATTACGTCATGTTATTTAAATGTTATTATCGTTATTTCTGTCAGATATTGTGCAACGTTCCCACAACATTGTAGGAACGTCCGTAAAATACATTCGTGTAGAGACAGAGACGGTAGAGATTGATAGTAAAACGGATTGAAATACTGGGATATTAATAACAAATGTCTTCTACCGTCGAGCTTTCTTTAATAATACACATCTGAATTTATACAATATTGCTAAACAAATGTTAGAAAAACGTACAAAAACAGTCTGATATTTACGCCATTTGTTTTAGACATAAGGACAGAGCTATCGTGTATACAGCAACCCTGACATGCCATCTCCTAAATATTCATCTAGCATGTTATTATCAATTATTGGCAATTCCAATTATTGGCACCACGATTTTCTCTAACATTTTATCTCTACATGATACATGAGGAATTATTAAAAAAAACTACACAGCAGATATACAAAACAAGATCCCGACATGCATCCAGGAACTAATCCAGACACACGTACAGTATAACTATTAGTAAATAGTCATTGTGGCTTGAAAACACTAATTCTCTTAAAATTGTGTATGCAAATGCTACTATATACACTGGGCCTTCCCAAACTAAATGTACATAGTTCAGTACTGTCATACTGTTGGAAATCAGAAGCAAAACTAGAAAATACGTATGAAACGCCGGTCAAAAACATCGATCGTAATGTATGTACACAGTATAGTAGCTCAGCTGGCGGGAACCTATTGTTTATCCCAAATGACAACTCGCGCATGCGCAGTTGTAATGCAGAACTCGCTTATAAGCGAGTTCGGTATCTCGCGCGCAACGAATCATGGGAAATGTCAAAGGTCATTTGGGATAAACAAGTAACGTTGCGAACGCAGCACTGTATAAACTGTGTGTAGACGTAACGTTTTCGGTCTGAGTTTTCGTAAAATTCGTTTTCGTCTTCTTAGTATCCTATATTGGTTATGGCTTACGCAAATGACGATGATATAACACTGAATGATTCTCTGCGATGGAAAGCCGATGCTTTGAAGGATTTTTTAGCGGACAGGGGGTTGAAAAATATGGGACGAAAAGACGAACTCGCTGCTCTTGCTTACGCTGCATCGTACATGAAGAAGCCTGTGCTACCGACTGCCGTTAGACGGCCGCTAGTAACCATATTAGTTTTAGACTTAGACTTAACCGTTAGACTTTCAAGCAGCAGACCTAGTGTTATTGACCTTGATAGGTTTCCCCAACAATTAGCACACTATAGTAGTAAAATATTGTAATGCATAAAGTCTGTATCAATGTGTGGGTGAGAAAATTGTTACGGAAGGATATAGCCGCTTCAATAATGCTCAATGGCTCTGTGCTATGTGGTCCGAATTTATTGGCACTCAAGTAGACATTTTGGTATTATTTACTGTATTTTGAAAACAATGGAGGCAAGTATAAAGAAATCCGGACACAAATTCCGAGCCGAATTATTATTATTATTAATATTATTATTATTATTATTATCATCATCATATATCATCATCATCATCATCATCATTATTCAATTTTTAATTCTGTGTCAGTTATTAATTTATATAATAAATAATATTTTAACAACGTTGTGTTCTGGTAACCCTTTGCTGATTCTATACCTTTATGCATACACGCGTTTCTTTTAGTTACGATCTGTTTATATCACTATCTGCTTCACTGATGTAAAAACCTAGCCATAGTCAGAGCCTTTGGTTTCAGTAGATGAGATTAGGTTGTACATATAACTGTAATGCATAGTCGACATCAATATCATAATATCAGGAGTGAATAATAGAGATCTAATAATCTCTATTATTCACTCCTGATAATATCCAATATAAATTTTCCTTTATTTCTAAGTGGATCATATTACGTTATGCATAATTGCGGCTCTACATTTTGTCACATCACAAACATGCGCAATGAAGAAAATATTTAATATTAATATTTAAGGGAGAAAGGTTGGTGTGCACGTTATTGTTGTCCGATCGCCATCGATTACTTCGGTACACGTAAAGAAAACCTCCAGTGTCGGTATGCCCGTACAGCCATCGTTGGCGCAGCTGATTTTCGTCCCTGAAAATTCAGATAATGAATGAAACAATAACAATAATGAAACAAGGCGGAGAAGCACATGGATTGGGCTTTTTTAGTTAGAATTTTGAAACTTTCCACACGCGTAAGACATGAGGTCCTGAGGATTTTCTGATATTGTGCCAATTCAACAGCGCCACCTTGTGGCGTACAGCGCCCCTAGCGGTATAACAGGTGTTGCGTTATGAATGGATGAATGAATAAATGTATGAATGGATGGGTGGATGGATGGATAGATGGATAGATGGATGGATGGATGGATGGATGGATGGATGGATGGATGGATGGATGAATAAATGAATGGATGGATGGATGGATAGTGGGATGGATGGATGGATGGATGAATGAATAAATGGATAGATGGATGGATGGCTGGATGGATGGTTGGATTGATGGATGGATGGATGAATGGATGGATGGATGAATGGATGGGTGGATGAATGCATGCATGGATTGATAGATATATGGATGGATAAACGAGTAAGTAACGTAGCTCTTCTCGGAGGTATCAGCTGACGGTATGCAGGAAACTACGATAATGAAGGTAGGAACCACAAAGCGTACGCTGGATGTGAATAGAACAGAATGATATATAGTGTCTTACCACATTCGTCATTTTTCGAGCAGTTACACTCGTACGTCCCAATGGTGTCACCTTTTTGGCAACTCTGATTACTCACATCCCCTCGTTTGCAGTTGGGTAGGGGTTCTCCCGCATTGGGGAATCCAGGTGGGATCAAAGCAGTGTTACACAGATTATTACCTGGTGCTAAAACAAAAGGTGAAGCGATATATTATAGTGAACCGATTTACAGCTACAACATCTCCAGCGTGGGTACTTGCACCGTCACGTACAAGCAGATGAAAGGATTTTGATGTATTGGCAATCATTTAGTTCCATAGATAGTCAATAAAACATTTTATCTGAGACATTTATGCTGAAATCAAATTTAGTACATTATTATGTCATTAATAAGTGATAGTGACTATACGCATGCACATTATGTATACTCTCATGCATGCATATTATACTCGCACACGATATATACATCCGCATTATATATATATAACTCTTAATCCAACCATAGGTGGACAGTACCGAAAACTAGTGTTATACGTAGACATTTTCCATACGCTAATATATCTAAAGTACTGCACAGTAACACAAATGCAATTTCTGGAAATAGTACATCTATATTAGTGCGTTTAGGGGGTATAGACAGATATTTGTTAAAACTATTCAAAGATAGATATACACATATATGTCTACTTAAGTCTGTCTACCTAAAGCACTTAAAGCTACTGACTGTCTACTTAAAGACTGATTTTCCATACGGACGTATATATGACACTTTTAGAAAATGTATTCTTAACAACACATTTAAGCTTTATCATATTTTAAAATGTTACAGGTCAATAGAACGAGGACACCTCTACTAGATAAACACGACATAATTATAAATTTCATGACGAAAACGAAGTTATAGCATGCTAAACATTAGGTAGACAGCAAATATGTCTACCTAACAAATTTGTCTACATAACGGCCGGTTTTTTACACCCGATGTCTACATATGGTGGGATTAAGAAATATATATATATATATGCATGATATACGTGATGAATGCTTTTCTTTTAGCGTGATTTTACGTTTTTTCTGTAATTTTCCAGGAGATGAGTCACTCGTCAGAACCCATTAAAATAGGCGGGGACACTCGTTTGCATATCTCACCCATATCTGACAGTATAGGTCATGCAAGGCATACTGCAAAGACAACGACCAAGCGTAACGTGCAGTGTCATATTTGCAGCGACTGGTCTGAGCTACACTGCGGAGGGCACTCACTATATATAGCAACCACCGATTCCAATATTACCAGCGATGCTTTATAGAATGAGTAAAGTGCATGTTGTAGTATACACTGAAGCATTTTAAGCATTTTTAATTATTTTTTTGTGTCATGCATATTTAATCCTGATGTCTATATCATGTTAGCGCCCTCAATTGGTAATTGAATTACACCTATATGTGAATAATTGGGCGTGTTTGTTTAGACTGATCATATGGTCCGGATCGTTCGAGCCACATGTCTGATTAGTCGGATATCCACTGAACTCGATCCGCTTGATTTGTTCCTCCTGGCGTGCTGGGTTCGAAGGGGATCCAATATGGCGGAATAGGAATCACTGTTTGTCGCTAGTTATACTAACTATCCTCGGGAGCTAACATGCGGTTAATAGCGAGCGACTTTAGCGAACGGAGGTTCGTGAAACGCGTCCTCTGCTATTTAGCGGACAATTCGGGAGATAGCGGGAAAAATAGCGGAGGGAATAGCGAACGGAGGTTCGTGAAACGCGTCCTCCGTTATTTAGCGGACAACTCGGGAGATAGCGGAGAAGATAGCGGAGGGAATAGCGAACGGACGTTCGTAAAGCCCCCCATGCCCCCCTCTTCGCTAGCTACGGCCCTGCTGCTCCGGTGAGGGGTCACAGCATTGACACATGCAAGCACATTTGCATTTATTTTAGCCAGAGCGGGATCAAGTGATCCAGAGATCAGACGGATCGGTCTCAAACAGGCCCACATTAATTGTTTCGACAACTCATTATATCCAGCCACTGTATTTTGCTTAGAACAGAATTACCTGCATCTATTTGGCAGTAATGGCCCATGATTGCCCTTTGGTTAGTTTAGCTAGTGCTATATATATTTCTTGATACTCTTACATAATTATATTCCGCTAAAATGAGCATATATATCAACGACTAATACATCATAGTAGCTAGCGGAGGTACGAGGCAGCTGCCCCCCCCCCCCAGAGAAATTTTTATAGTTTCGCATGGTCAATGGCGAATTGACCACGGTCACCTGCCCAGAACGCAGCCTGCACGTGGCTTTGCACCTCCACGAAAAATGGGTTTGCTACGCCCCTGATGATAAATTATGTACAATGCCTATCAGGGAATTTGTAATTTTGTAAAGACTATGGGTGAATACAGTCACTTATAGGTCGTATAATTTACGTACCTGTACAGACTCCGTTAACTTCAGTGAATATGGGATGACATGCACATGCAATACCATCCGGACAGTATGAGTTCGGATCCATAGCCATGCACGATGCGTCTGTGCAACCAACAACACACATGAGATTATCGTCGCATATTTCCCCGGCGCCACAGTCTGTGTCTATGATGCACTCGACGCAGACTTTGTTCACACATCTAGGAAGTCCAACGACGTTGACGCAGTGCGAATCCATGTTACACTGCTCACATGTTCCGCTAGTGCAGGCCGGTAAGTTCGCATTAATCGCCGTACATTCTGCATCATTTTGACACGTAACACACACACCGTTGCAGCATACTGGTGTTGCTGCATTCATGCTGCAGTGCGTGTTAGTTGAACATGCGATACACATGCCATTAACACACGCAGGTAAATCAGAATCGGTACAATCGTCGTCATCTTGACATGCGACACACACACCGTTGCAGCATACTGGTGGTGCTGCATTCATGCTGCAGTGCGTGTTAGTTGCACATGCGACACACGTGCCATCAACACACGCAGGTAAATCAGAATCGGTACAATGGTCGTCATCTTGACATGCGACACAAATACCATTGCAGCACACTGGTGCAGCTGCGTCCGTGCAATCTGCGTCGAGTAAACACGTGCCAGCACAAACATTCGAGTAACACGTTTGACCAACCGGGCAAGTGATCTCCGCACATGTGTCCTCACATACAGTGGCAGAGGTTGTAACTGAAATATTAATTACCACAGATTATATGGCTGTGTGTGATCACTGTTTACGGCCATTTTGGCAATGACGCGACAACATTTATTTCGCAGAGGAATCTCTAGCTTTAACTGAAAGCATGTTTACCCCAAGACTTTATAATATGTGCTAGATCGCTGGCAAATAACCAGCAGGTTAGCTATAATAACCACTTTACAATCGTAGGCGTACGTAATAGTTTGCAATTACGTTTGAAGTTTATTGTATGAATATTTATGTGCATCATTCTTGCTCGGCTTTTTAATCGATCGATTCTTCCTCATCGTTCAATAATAGGATTGATAACCGTAATAATGATTCCTGATGAGGATTGGATCTCCGTGAAACTATTTTTAATCCGGATGTGTGCAGAACCGTTGTACGTTGCAGCTATAAATTGTTCACTTACCCGGCCTACATTCTAATTGGTAGGCGCCATGACGTGGTCCGTATTTATCGTAAGTATGTCTGTTGTATGCCAATCTTATGACCTCGTATCCTGTTATGCAACCACACGTCCGTTGTCCATAACCGACGTCCTGGCATTGTGCACCATCTCCGCCAAGACATTGTATCGTATCCAGGCAGCTCCATCCAATGGGGACATCTTTTTTAAGTTTAAACGTTTTAATTAATTAAGAGTCAATCTGACTCGATACAATCACGTAATATATCACGTATAATTTGGTGGCGGTCCATGTCATGTTTACTAAACAGTAGCTCAGATGCAACCCTCGTCAGAGTAGTAAAGAGACTCCTCCACCGGGTCTCATTGACATAATTGTCACCCTCCCCACTCTCTACCACCGACCATTCACTCGTTACACCGCTTCCCTTCAGTGGGTAAAACACAAAATAGCTATACTATCTCTTAATTACGGATTAATTTAGTTTCATCGTTTTTTTGTATGTATAATAGACGTTTTCTACAAATAAGAGATCAAGTAAATTTATATGCTGTATATGTAAACGTTAGGCAAATAAAGGTTAATATAGGTTATAAGCAAATGAAGGTTATAAGAAGCTAACTCGCGTCTTTTTTCTATTTCATGTGGTGGGGGAAAATTGATTCCGATTGGGAACATTGCTTCCCTTAACGCTGTGGTTTACCGTAACGTAACGGCGATGATGAGCGTGAGACTGTGCTTGACATGTTCACTGAGATCAGTACCGCAGGCAAATTACACGCGTGGCTACAGGGACTTGATTCAAGTACACGGTTAGATCGCATTACCTGGCAGAAAATTCTTCGAGTTGAAGAAACGTGCACATTCGGATGCCGCTTTCTGGTTGCTGTCGTAAAAAACACAGACAAATCCAATATTAACATACCCGCGTATCGTTAATTAATAATTATGAACGCATAGGGTTTTTCGTTATTCTAAGTCTCGCTATCTCTGTTATTTTGCGTTGTCTAATGCCCAGTATCCGCCCGACGTAAATTTTACTTCGTTTATTTTACTTCGTAAATTTTACTTCGACCAGCAAACGTCAATGGTATGCTTACTAATCTAAGGGGTATCCCATCGGTAGATGACATTCCACTTCGAAGTCGACACTTGGTAGATTAAACTTGTGTGAATATGGTGTCCACTCGATAACCAACAAATCCCACACTCTGATGTACTTTCCATAGACATCAGCCTGTAGTTCGAATCGAAATAACGAAATAAGATCATACATTCTGATCGCTTTCGGATTGAAGTTCATGAGATTGCTGACGCAATGGTGGTACTATAAACGTTTTTATACAGCCGGAGTGTACATGGAAGCAGAAATTGTATGTGGGGGAAGCAGCGGGAGTATATTTATGCAGGGAGGCAGCATATGTGCAGGGAGGCAGCATGTGTGTGCAGGGAGGCAGCATGCGTGTGTAAGCAGGCAGCAAGTGTGTGCAGGGAGGCAGCATGTGTGTGCAGGGAGGCAGCATGAGTGTAAGCAGGCAGCAAGTGTGTGCAGGGAGGCAGCATGTGTGTGCAGGGAGGCAGCATGAGTGTAAGCAGGCAGCATGAGTGCAGGGAGGCAGCATGTGTGTGCAGGGAGGCAGCATGTGTGTAAGCAGGCAGTAAGTGTGTGCAGGGAGGCAGCATGTGTGTAAGCAGGCAACAAGTGTGTGCAGAGATTATGTAGGGTGGCAACAGGAGGAGTAAGAACTGAGGCAGGAGACTGCAGGGCGGCAGAAGTATAAGGCCTGGCTAGACAATGACGTGAATTAGAAACCATTACAAAATGCTCATACAGCAGCAGGAGAAGCAATGCCACTAAAGCTGCTCTGAATATGTATCCGTCCTGCGGAATCCGGAAAATTAGTCACAGAAAACTGGTCACAGGAAACCTAAGCACCGAAAAATTTAAAACAGGAAAATTGGCCACACGGAAGACTGGTTACAGACAAATTTTTCACATGAACATTGATCATACGGAAAATTAGTAACAGGAAAAGTAGTCACAAATAGTAAACCTTCTCAAGAGTAGAGCTCGGTAAATTCCGGTAACGAAAATCGAGAAGGCGGCAGAGGAGGAGCGTAGAATGAGAAGAATGAGAAAGATAGGGCGAAGAATGCGGTAAATCTGGATGGAGGACAGCATAATTATAGAGAAGAGTTTGGAAATGGAAGAAAGCGTGTGAGAAGCAGGATAGGACGCGGAAAAGCTGAAGAAAGAAAGCAAAATTGGTGGAGAATGTGGAAGCAAGTATAGGAGAATGAGGAATGACTTAGCACAGGAAATGTGAGGAGGTAGAAAATGAGGGAGGAGGGTAGAGTAGGAGGGAGGAGGGTAGCGTAGAAGGAGAAGATGGGGAGAATATACAAGAGGAGGGATCTGATTACGCACGGTAGGAAGGTAGAATGGTGGAGGAGGAAAAGGCTTGTAGATGAAGATTGTAAAGGAGAACAGAGGAGGGGGAAGTGGAGGCGACGGAGGGAGGAGGTACATTATTAGGAGGGAATGTGCTGGAAGAGAAGCAGGAAGGAAGGAGGAAGCAGTAGCATATCGAGGTTTGCTTATGTGAACAATTTTCCTGTCACCAAATTCCGATCACTAGTCTGCCTGTAACATAGTTTTGTGACAAAATTTGCTACACCCCATCCTGCACACCACGTGCGCAAGTCAATTCATCAACATTTCGTACGTCTTTTAGTACCAACCCCATATCTATTGTGCTCACCCTTTTCATTCCGCAAAACGTAAATGGAATAAAGAAAGTCTGCTTGAGCTTTCCGTGGCCATACACGCTGCAGTGCGGACTTCGATCTGCGCCTGGCACGTATATATACCCATAAAAGGGCAGACGAAACTCGATGGTCAGCAGCATGCCATGACAATGCGTGATGTCACAGATGCGCGTAAAACCTGAAACACCCTGTAGTTGATTGGCAAGACCGGGCAAGGCAAACTAAGAGTTTGCAACAAACGATCAATTGAAGTTCAATAGATGATGGCATCAGCGCAATATGTGGACTACAATATTAGTTTTCTGCACTATTTGCTCAACGATACTTCCAGTATGCTTTGCAAACACGAGAATTAATTCAATTACATTCTAATTTCATCAATTCCTAAATAACAGTGATCCATGAAATCAGGAGTAGATAAAGGGAATCCCTTCCCTTTATCTACTCCTGATGAAATTGATCGCAATATACATTATACATATATATATATATATGTGTGTGTGTGTGTGTGTGTGTGTGTGTGTGTGTGTGTGTGTGTGTGTGTGTGTGTGTGTGTGTGTGTGTGTGTGTGTGTGTGTGTGTGTGTGTGTGTG